GGCTCTCTCGTGAGAGGCGAGCCACTTCCGTAGCCCCGGGGCGAGCGGCCGGTCTGTTCCGAGTGCGTGTTCTCTTCTTTCTCCCCAGATGGGAATCGATCTGGGCTCTCCTGGCTGGTCGGAAAAGGTTCTTCCTCCCGCCGCAGCGGAGGCTGGGGGGCGGAGGGGAGGAGAGGAGAGGGAAGGGGAGGGAGGGAGGGAGGAGAGGATGGCGGTGGCGGGGGGCGCGTGTGTGCGCCGCGCGCTCGGGCTGGGGGTTTCCCCCTCAGCCAATGCCTCCCGACGATGCTCCAGCGGCGGGGGCAGGGGCACAGCCTGGGCCCGGCTCTGCCGTCCTCCCCAGCCTTGGCCTGGGTCTCCGCGGCGGCGGGCGGGAAGGAGCCCGGGGAAAGGGGGTGGGGAGGCGTGAGCAGTCGCTGAGGCAGCCGCAGCCACAGCGGCGCTGGGACCCAGTTGCCCGGGCCCCGCCCCCTCGCCCGGGATTTGCGCCTGGCCACGCCTCCTCACTTCGGCCGGCCTCAATTCTCACTGCGACCGCCTTCAAGGCACTCCTTCTTCTTAAAAATTCCCCCTCAGCCTGTCCTCCCCATCTCCCCCTGGTCCCGCTCAGTCAAGTCTACGGGCTCAAACCCCCAAATCTGCCTTTCTGTCACATCTCAGTTCTGCCTCCCTCTGCTCATCGTTCAATCTCTTTTCCAGCAACCTTTCCACATGTTCCAGAGTTTCCCTAGGGCTTGGCTCGTAGGGGACTTGCCTTTGATACTCTTCACGCAGCTCAGACCAGACCTCATGGTTCTTTACTTCGCCACTCTTTGGCCAATAGCCTCAGTTTCCAGGATTGTCGCATCTGCCTGGCAGCATTCCAACCTTGAATCAGTCCAACTGTCCGCCTTTTCCATGCCTGTGCCCAGGCAGCTAAACACTGCTGGAGAAAACTATTCAACCTCACAGATTTGTGCCACTATAAACTCATAGTCCCCAGCTTCTACCAGGCCCTCGGTGCTGACCCACAACCCTACTATGCATTCCCGGACAGCCTTCTCTCTCATGCTCTGCAACAGCCATTTCTAACCTCCCTTCTCCTCAAACCCCTAACTTCTCCATCTGTCCCCTGACCCTCAGCAGATGACCCCACCTACTTCACAGAGTAAACAGAAGTCACCAAAAAGGAAGTTCTTTCCTTCTTGCCACCAAACCTACAGAATCTGTCCCTTGTTCCTTCCCAACAGCATTTAAACATACTCAGGTCTCTTCCATCTAAAAATTACCAAAAAATCTCCCTCTCCAACCACCTCCCTCTCTTCCCTCTATAAACGTCTCAAGAGTCGCCTACACTTAACTGTCTTAATTTTCCCACTTCCCACTTATCTTTCAACCCACTCCAATCTGCCTCTACTATTTGCCTGATACTGCTCTCTTATCAAGGTCTGCCATGGCCCATGTCACTAAATCCAATAGAATCTATTCAGAGGTTATCTTACCTGACTTCTTGGTAGCATTTGGCACTAGTGACCACTCCCTCCTCCTTAAACCACTTCCATGACACCACACTCTCAGTTTTCTCCTGCTTCCTTGGTAACTCCTTTTTACTTTCCAGACTCCTCCTTGTCCAACTCTTAAATGCTGGTGCTCTTTAGGTTTTGGCCTGAGCTCTCTTCTCTCTGCTCTTTCCTATGATTATTACATTCATTCTCATGGTTTCAACTATCATTTCTTTTCTGATGACTCCCAAATTGATACAAGTCCAGGTACTTCTCCTGACCTATGCGTTCAGCGGGTTAATAGACAGATAACTCTACCTGAATACCCTGGAGACACCTAAAGCCTCAGCTTCTCTCCAACTCAAGGTATCCTCCTCCCAGCCTTTTTGTCCTTCTTTGTGCCTTACCTTAGCGAATGACCCTAGTCAAGGCAGAAACCTGAGCTATACCCCTCTTCTTTCTCCTCCACTCCCATGCAATCACCAAGTCCTGTCATTTTTATCTCCTGAATATCTCCCAAATTTACGTAGTCTCTTTTATTTCTGCTGCTACTACCCTAATCTAGGCCAGCACCATTTCTAACCTGAATACTGTCACAACCTCCCTGTTTTAGTCTTATTCCCTGGAATCTAGTCTCTTCACTGTAGGCAGTATGATCTTTTGAAAAGGTAAACCAAAATCATATCACTCTCACGTTTAGAATCCTTCAATGAGTCCCCCACTTGCTCTAAAGGAAAACTACCTTCCTCAACAGGCAAAGTCAAGCTGGGCTCTTCATGATTTGACCACCACCAGCCTTTCCAGACTCCATGCTTGAGTCAAAGCTGAAATTATTAGACTGTTCCTTATGTCTAGCTTTGGAGTCTTTGCATATGCTGTTGCATCTGCAAGAAATTCTGTCCACATCTCCCCAGTTCCATTTGTTCTTCAGATCTCTGCTCATTTGATGAATGCCTTTTGAGCACACACTTTGGGCCAGGCACCACATGAGGCACTACTTATGCAGTGGTGAATAAGACAGACATGAAAAAGATCATGGAAAACAAACTCGGCCCTCAGAATTTCAGTCTGGCGCTGGAGAGGACTTGAGGTAAACAAATACATAATTAAAACATATAAACACACAAAATTACAAATTGTGATAAGGCTATAACGAGTTGGAACAGGGTGATAGGAAAGAGAGTAACAGGTGGGGGCAATTTAGCCTGAGATTCAGGCAAGGCTGATACTTAAGGTGAGTAAAGGAATGGGAGTTAGCCCATGAAGAGTGGAGGCAAAAGTGTCCCAGGCAGAGGCCACAGCAAGTGAGAAGGCCCTGGGAAGAAAGGGAAAGGGTATACTTAGGAACTGCAGGAAGGCCAGTGTGGCTGGAGCATAGTGAGCTGAGGGCAAGAGGTATGGGATGTGAGGTTGAGGAGGTAGGCAGGCAGAAGCCAACTTATGTTGGGCTTTATAGGCCATGGTGAGGAGAATAGATCTTATACTATGAGCAATAAAAAGGTACTGAAGCAGTGCTTTTAAATGTGGGTCAAACTGCAGAAGGTACTGAAATCAACTTGAGAAAATAGAAAATATCAGAACGTATCATAGGATTATGTAGGAAGGGTAAGCATGTCTCAGTTTGCATCATATATGATCATGATGAAATAGTATCTCTTTTGTAGATACTTCCTATCCCCCAAATGCTGAAATACACTACATTGAAAGGTTTTAAGCTTGGAATTGACATGGTATAGTTAATGTTTAAAGAGATTACTTTGGCTGTTGTGGATTGGATTGGAGGTGGACAAGATTAGGAGTCTACTGCAATCAGAGATGACGGTGAGTGGACTAAGGTGGCAGAGGTGGAGATGAAGAGAGGTAGATTTGAAAGATATTTAGAATTGAAAGGGCTTGGTGTGGTGGCTTGCGGGTGGGAGGGAGAGGGAGGAATCAAGGATACCTCCCAGGGACCTGGTGATGTGAGGCCAGGTCATTCATCGAGATGAGGAAGACAGAAAGAGGAACAGGTTTTCAGGGGAAGATCAAGAGTTCAGTTTTACATGCCCTTGAAATAGCCAAAGGAAGAAGTCAAGCAGATAGTGGTATATATTGTACATCCCAGAGAGGTCTGGTTTCAGATATAAATGAGAGTTGGCAGTATAGAGATAGCATTAAAAAACCACGAGAGAAGAAGTCAGAGACAGAACAAAGAGAAAGGAAGAGGATCCATGACTGAGCTCTGAGATTCTCATTTCAAGTTTAGAGGTTGAATGAAGGAGTAGGAGGTGGCAAAGAGACTGAAAAGAGGTAAAGAGATAGGGACATAACTAGCGATGTGTCAGGGATGTTTTAAGAGTGCTGAGAAGTCAACTAAAATGATTGAAAAGGGTCCATTGGATACGGCAATATGGGTGTTGGTAGTGACCTTGATATAAGTAGTTTTGGAGGAGTGGTGGGGTGAAAACCAGAATGGATGAAGAGTGGATGGATACACCATTGGTAGGAGTGTAAACTGATACAACCACTCTAGAAAATGTTGGCCATTTTCTAGTAAAGCTGAACTATGCACATACTCTAGGTCCAGCAATTTTAGGTGTCTATCCCAGAGCGGTAGTTCCCACAATGTGGTCTGGGGATCCTGAGGGCAGGGACGGAGGGTGGGGGAGCCAAAACCATAATACTAGAAAGATGTTATTTGCTTCTTTTACTCTCATTCTCTCAAGTACGTAGAGTGGAGTTTTCCAGAGGCTACATGACATGTAATATCACAGATTGAATGCAGAAGCAGATATGAGAATCCAGCTGTTTTCTATTAAGCCATACAGTAAAGAGATTTGCAAAAATGTAAAACAATGCCACTCTTCTCACTATATTCTTTTTGTTTTGGAAAATATAGTTATTTTTCATAAAAATGTTACTTTTGTTAAATGTAATTGGCTTATTATTTTAAAATTAATATATTTAAGCTTTCTCAGTTTTAATTTCTAATACAGCAAGTATCAATTGGTATAACCCACATACACCAAAGCTTTTTAGGGTCTGCAGTGATTTTTAAGAACGTAAAGCAAGTCCTGAGACCAGAAAGTTTGAGAATTGCTCCCCTAGAGAAATCCTCACATGTGTATACTGGGAGACACTACAAGAGTGTTCACCAAAGCCTGTTTTTTTTTATTTTTATTTTTTATTTTTAATTTTTTTGGCGGTGCGCGGGCCTCTGTTGTGGCCTCTCCCGTTGCGGAGCACAGGCTCTGGACGCGCAGGCCCAGCGGCCATGGCTCATGGGCCCAGCCACTCCGCGGCATGGGGGATCTTCCTGGACTGGGGCATAAACCCGTGTCCCCTGCATCAGCAGGCGAACTCTCAATCACTGCACCACCAGGGAAGCCCACCAAAGCCTGTTTGAAACAGCAAGAAACAGAAACAAGAAAATAAGATGAATAAATTGAGACATATTTATACAATGGAATACTATAATAAAATAAATGAATGAACTCCAGCTACATGTATCAACATGGATAAAACTCAGGAAACCTAATACTGATTCAAAAAAGTCATGAAAGAATATGTTTATGTAAAGTTGAACAACAGTCAAAATTATACAATATATGGATGCAGTAATATGTTGTAAAACCATACAAAAAAGCAAGGCATGAAAAATGACACTGGTTACCTCAGGGAGGGGAAGGAGATGTGACTGGGGAGGGCTACATGGCGGGTTTTGTCATTCAGAAATGATTTGTTTTTGAAGCTGGGTGATGGGTACAGGTACATAGGTATTTGTTTTATAATTTATTTGAACTGTACAGATATGTATATTATAAAATTTATAATGTATTATCATGAAAAATAAATAAAATTTAAAAAGCAGGAATAATTGGATAGAGTGCTGGTGGGAGGGTAGATTGTTACAGGACCCTCCCTGAGGTCAGAGGGAATAAAACACTGCCCCCGATCCTGCTGAAGTGGAGCTAGGTGTGTAGGCGATTTCCTTGTGAAACATGGCTGTGAATGGGAACAGAGCCCAGAGAGCTAAGGTGATGGTAGGAGGAGGGGCAAAGAATGATTTTTCTAAGATGGGAGATACTAGACTATGCTTGTTTGCTGCTGGGAAAGACCCAGAGACCATAGAGAGGGACTGGATGGCAACACAGAAGAGAAAGGGAATAATGGAAGGGAAAGGAGGAGCTGGGATCTGAGGTACTGGGCCTCAGAGAGGAGAGGTCCTCAGGCCCTTCATTGTAACAGGAAGGAATGAAACAAAAGATGAATACAGATACTGGGAGGTTTAGAGATTCAGTGGTGGGAAGATGAAGGTCCTGGAACAATTCTCCCATGTCTGATGGCTTTTATTTTGTCACTGGAGCATGAGATAAGATCATTTTTCTGTAGAGAGAATAGAAATATTAGTCAGTCTTTCTTAATAGCATGGTTGATAGAAATTTTTTACTATTGATAGTTTAGAAAAGTTTCAGCTTTACGATAATGTAGTTTTAGGACTATTGTCAAATTTGGGAAAACCTGTTTAGTTTCTTTCATATATGAGCTGTAAGATGTCAGGGCATTTCAATTTTCTTATAGAGTGAAGAGTACACATCTTCAGTACTCTTTGATTTTTCGCTGATTGTTAAGCAGGGTCTTGGAAGAAACAAATGAGGGACCCTGAAGCTTCACTGACCTCTCTGTAAATTTGTCTTTGGCCTCTTTGACCTACTTTCTCCTCCAGGAAGCATTCTCTGATTTTCCCTGGCCGAGGTTCTCCCACAGGGCTTTATTCCTGTCACTCACAGGACTTTTCTCACTCTCTCTGAGGTAGCCAGGTCATCCTCCTTCGCTAGATAGAGGGAGCTCCAGAGGGTAAGGAGTCAGGACACACTTACCTTGGTTCAGCAGTCTTCCATCAGTCTGTGAGTGAGTCTTCACTGGAGCAGTGTGGTATGGTGGTCAAACATGTAGGCCTTGGAGGCAGGCAGACTGGAATTTGATTTTTTGCACCTTGGGTGTACAGAAAGAAGAGGGTTCATCCTAATCCTTGGTTCATGACATACTCTACCATTGGTCCAGGCTGGGGCTTCACTCCTAGCTCCTCTGTGTGACCCTGGGTAAGTTACTCATTGCTCTAAGTCTCAGTTTCCCCATCTGTAAACTGGGGATGATAATAATACCTACTACATCAGAGTTGTGAGGATTCAATAACATAATCCATGAAACGCATGCACAGTCCCCAGTACCTAATGTTTAATAAATGGTAGCCCTCCACATGATTGGGAGTATACTGTAGGTGGAGGATACAGTATTGCATAACAAAGGCCCAGGCCCTGCCTTCCTGAGCTCACAGCCTATTGGGTACCACACAGCCCAGTGCCAGCCCTGATATATCCAAGACTTGTGAGTGGTTGTTGAATCAAAATTATTTCATTCTGTGCCTCTATTTCTTTTATTTTTTACTGTCACCCCAGTTCACCATCACTGTCACCACCTTTCAGATGTCTCCCATCTCTCTTATTTTGCTCTCTGTTGTCTTTCTGTTTACATCTCTCTGGTGGTTTCTCTTTCCTATCTCTCCTATTCTCTCTCAATCTCTCCCCTTCTTGCTCTTGCTCTCACTCTCTCTCCATTGCCTCTGTTGGGGGTTGCCTTGTCTCCATCCTGTCCCCATCTAACTTATGGTTCTCCTCTTGGTCTGTGTCTCCATCCTCACATATATAATACCATATTACTCTACCTCATCTGTTTCTGAATCTGTGTTCCAAAGTTTCTGTCTTTTCTGCTTCTCTTTCAATTTCCTTTGGCTCCTTGGCCTCTTTTCTGTCCACCCCCCTGTCTCCAACACTCTGTACCTATTTATCTTATCTCTGCCTGTCTCCCAGTTCTCATCTTTGTATTTATGTTGCTGCATTCATCCGTCTCTGTTCCCCACCTATCTTTCTCTATTTCTATTCTCACCTTTCTGTTCCAGTCTCTGTCTTCACCCCAGCCTCCCACCCCCTCACAACTAACATTTACATTCTCTTTGTTTCTCTCTCACACACATACCCCTATGTTGGTCTTCTTGCCCTTGTTTCCCTCTTTGAGTCTCTCCTCATCTATCACCCCTTTTCTACCTCTGTTACCATCTCTCTTGCTGGGTGGCTCTCCTCATGTGCCTGTCTCTTGTTTCCATCTTTCTGTCCCTATGTGTGTTTCATCTGTTTGCCATCTTGTCCCCAGATCCCTGTCTGTCTGTATCTCTCTGTCACTGACAGAGTAGTCAAGAGTATGGCCTCTGGTGTTAGATTGTTTGGATTCCAATCCTAGTTGTGCTGCTGACTTGCTGTGCCTCAGTGTCCTCATCTGTAAAACAGGGCTGATAACAGTACCTGCTTCAGTGTTACCAAGAGCATTAAATTAACTAACACATGTACAGCTTATAGAACCATGCCTCAAATATAAGAAATGCTCAAAAATATTAGCTCCTAAAAATAAATAACAAGGACCTACTATAGCACAGGGAACTGTATTCAATATCTTGTAATAACCTATAATGGAAAAGAATATGAAAAAGACTTTATATACCTATATATTTACATATATATATAATTGAATCACTTTGCTGTACACCTGAAACATTGTAAATCAACTATACTTCAATTAAAAAATATTAACTTCTATATCATCAACCTCTTCCTCCTCAACACCATCTCCGTTTCTATCTTTGTCTATCTAATCCCAGTCACTCTCTTTATCTACCTGGCTGTTATCATCTCTGTGTCTCTCTCTATCCACCTGGCTGTTATCATCTCTGTGTCTCTATCCTCATGTTTTATGTAACTGCCTTTCTGACCCCAATCTGTGTCTCTGTCCCCATCTCTCTCTCTCCCTACATTCCAGCCTCATTTCTGTCAGTCCCTCTTTTTCTACCCTGCCCATTCCATCTGTCTGTATATCTCTCTGTCCCCAAACTTCTTTGCTTCTTTATCACCATTCTGACTATCTGTTCCTATCATTCAGGCCCTATTTCTTGGTCTCTGTCTCTTTATATCCTTGTTCTCATTTCTCTATCCCCCTGTTCCCATATCTATCTTTGTTTATCTATTTCTTTATAAAAATCTTATTCTGTTTCTTTCTCCTCATCTCCCTGTGTCTTCTTCTGGCCTCTCTGGACAATTTAGATTGGAATTGGTCTGGTAGATAATGTGGAGCTATAAAAGGGTTTAGGAGGAAGCAGTAGGCCTGGCAAGAGGCAAGTGGCAGGGTGTGGAATTTCATGGCTCTGCCAAATCCTCCTGAACGACGTGGCCTCTGAGGTCAAGGTTAGCATAAACCCCCTTAACTCAGCCTCTTCAAGAAAGACAAAGAATGCTGCAGTTATTGGGAGGACCAGGAAGGGGTATTTTTCTGAGTGAAATTCCATCCGGAAGCTGGAATCCAGAGCATTTCCTGTTGTAATGTTTCTTCCAGACTTGGAGAGTCTGAACTTGCCACGTAGCATGTGCACTGCATACATATATTTCTACAGTAAAACACAGAGATGCATACATAATCCCCCACCCTCAGAGATGCAGACATGTGCAGAGACATATAGATACACATAGAATCAAGAACCCTCACAGTTGCAGACACTCCAAGACATGGAAAAGCACACAGAATGAATTACCAGCTGGCAGAGATGCTGATGTACACAGGGACATTGAGAGAACCATGGAAATACCCCCATCACAGCTCACGGACCCATGCAAACAGATACAGAAAAATAATTACATAGAAAAATTGTTCTTTTTCAGCCTGACATTTTCATATAAACAGAAACACACCAGAGCATCATGTATAAAAAACACACCTTTATAGAAGTGTGCACATTCATACATAATCACAAATATCCAAAGCAACAGAGAATCACATATAGCCATTGCTTTGCTGAAAGTGTAGAGGTAGCCAAACTTCCTCTGGCCCCCAAATAACAGACATGCCGCTCCTCTTGTGCCCCCCTCTCTGTGAAGGCACCACCAAGTACTCAAGCCAGAAACCTGACTGCTAGGTACTAGACAGAAATAATTGAAAACATCTAGATAAAGTTTTTTTCCTAGAAAAATATAAAGTGATAAAAATGGCATAGGAAGTAGAGAACGTGAATAGACCACTAGGCATTAATGAAACTGAAATGGTAGGTAAGGACATCGCTTCCCCCCAAATCCAGGCCCAGATGGATTTACAGGTATAGTGTGCGGGACTCTCAGGAGTTACTTCTCTTCTTATACAAGTTATTCCAGAAAATAGAAAAGGAGAGAAAGCTGCCTAGCTCATTTTATTTGTCTAGTAAAATCTTGAAGTCTTGATTTTAAAAACAGATAAGGACAATTAAAGAAAATTATAGACTCATTTCACTTATGAATATAGATGCATAAATCGTAAATTAAATATTAGCTAATCGAATCCAACAGTATTTAAAAAATACATCACAATCAAATGGAGTTAATTCCAAGAATGCAAGGAGAATGCATTCAAACTCAGAAAAATCTATCAATGTAATTTACCACATGAATAGACTAAGGGATAATAATCATATGAGTATCTCAATTAATATACGAAAATTATGTTACATGCCTACTTACGATGAAAACTCTTTAAAAAATATGAATAGAAGGCAAATTTCTTAACTTGGTGAAGGTTACATACCAAAATTTTACAGCATACTTTGCAGAAAATGGAGAAACTTAAGATGCATTTCCTTGAAGATTAAGAATAAGACTAGATACTTACCCTCACCAACTACTGTTTAACATAGAACTGGAAGTCTTGTTTAATACTATAAAGGGAGAAAAAGAAATGAGACGTGTAAGGACTGGAAGAGAAGAGATAAAACCAACAGATTCAACTGACATACTATTAGAATTAAAAAGATTTCAGCAAGGTTGCCAGGTACAAAATCAACTTATAAAAATCAATAACATTTCTTTACATTAGCAATAAACAACTAGAAAAAATAAGATACCTAAAATTAATCACTAGACCAAAGTATAAACTTTTCTAAATGTCAGGACAACTAAAAAAAAATGAGAAAAAAACCACATTCACAGAAAGATAGACAAGATGAAAAGGCAGAGGGCTATGTACCAGATGAAGGAACAAGATAAAACCTCAGAAAAACAACTAAATGAAGTGGAGGTAGGAAACCTTCCAGGAAAAGAATTCAGAATAATGATAGTGAAGATGATCGAGGAACTTGGAAAAAGAACGGAGGTAAAGAGAGAGAAGATGCAAGAAATGTTTAACAAAGACCTAAAAGAACTAAAGAAAAAACACCTAGAAGAATTAAAGAACAAACAAACAGAGATGAACAATACAATAACTGAAATAAAAAATACACTAGAAGGAATCAATAGCAGAATAAATGAGGCAGAAGAACAGATAAGTGACCTAGAAGACAGAATGGTGGAACTCACTGCCATGGAACAGAATAAAGAAAAAAGAATGAAAAGAAATCGAGACAGCCTAAGAGACCTCTGGGACAACATTAAACACAACAACATTCGCATTATAGGGGTCCCAGAAGGAGAAGAGAGAGAGAAAGGAACCGAGAAAATATTTGAAGAGATTATAGTCGAAAACTTACCTAACATGGGAAAGGAAATAGCCACCCAAGTCCAGGAAGCGCAGATGGTCCCAGGCAGGATAAACCCAAGGAGAAACACGCTGAGACACATAGTAATCAAATTGAAGAAAATTAAAGACAAAGAAAAATAATTAAAAGCAACAAGGGAAAAACGACAAATAACATACAAGGGAACTCCCATAAGGTTAACAGCTGATTTCTCAGCAGAAACTACAAGTCAGAAGGGAGTGGCATTATATATTTAACGTAATGAAAGGGAAGAATCTTCAACCAAGATTACTCTACCTGGCAAGAATCTCATTCAGATTCGATGGAGAAATGAAAAGCTTTACAGACAAGCAAAAGCTAAGAGAATTCAGCACCACCAAACCAGCTCTACAACAAATGCTAAAGGAACTTTTCTAAGTGGGAAACACAAGAGAAGAAAAGGACCTACAAAAACAAACCCATAACAATTAAGAAAATGGTCACAGGAACATACATAAAATCACCTTAAACGTGAATGGATTAAATGCTCCAACCAAAAGACACAGGCTAACTGAATGGATACAAAAACAAGACCCATATATATGCTGTCTACAAGAGACCCACATCAGACCTAGGGACACATACAGACTGAAAGTGAGGGGATGGAGAAAGATATTCCATGCAAATGGAAATCAAAAGAAAGCTGGAGTAGCAATTCTCATATCAGACAAAATAGACTTTAAAATAAAAATGTTATAAGAGACAAGGAAGGACACTACATAATGATCAAGGGATCAATCCAAGGAAAAGATATAACAATTATAAATATATATGCACCCAACATAGGAGCACCTCAATACATAAGGCAACTGCTAACAGCTCTAAAAGAGGAAATCAAAAGTAACACAATAAGAGTGGGGGACTTTAACACCTCACTTACACCAATGGACAGATCATCCAAACAGAAAATTAATAAGGAAACATAAGCTTGAAATGACACAATAGACCAGATAGATTTAATTGATATTTATAGGACATTCCATCCAAAAACAGCAGATTACACTTTCTTTTCAAGTGCACATGGAACATTCTCCAGGATAGATCACATCTTGGGTCACGAATCAAGCCTCAGTCAATATAAGAAAATTGAAATCATATCAAGCATCTTTTCTGACCACAACGCTATGAGATTAGAAATGAATTACAGGGAAAAAAAAGTAAAAAACACAAACACATGAAGGATAAATAATACATTACTAAACAACCAAGAGATCACTGAAGAAATCAAAGAGGAAATCAAAAAATACCTAGAAACAAACGACAATGAAAACATGACGATCCAAAACCTATGGGATGCAGCAAAAGCAGTTCTAAGAGGGAAGTTTATGGCAATACAAGCCTACCTCAAGAAACAAGAAAAATCTCAAATAAACAACCTAACCTCACACCTAAAGGAACTAGAGAAAGAAGAACAAACAAAACCCAAAGTTAGTAGAAGGAAAGAAATAATAAAGAACAGAGCAGAAATAAATGAAATAAAAACAAAGAAAACAATAGCAAAGATCAATAAAACTAAAAGCTGGTTTTTTGAGAAGATAAACAAAATTGATACACCATTAGCCAGACTCATCAAGAAAAAAAGGGAGAGGACTCAAATCAATAAAATTAGAAATTAAAAAGAAGTTACAACAGACACTGCAGAAATACAAAGCATCCTAAGAGACTACTACAAGCAACTCTATGCCAATAAAATGGACAACCTGGAAGAAATGGAGAAATTCTTAGAAAGGTATAACCTTCCAAGACCGAACCAGGAAGAAATAGAAAATATGAATGCACCAATCACAAGTAATGAAATTGAAATTGTGATTAAAAATCTTCCAACAAACAAAAGTCTAGAACCAGATGGCTTCACGGGAGAAGTCTATCAAACATTTAGAGAAGAGCTAACACCCATCCTTCTCAAACTCTTCCAAAAAAAGTGCAGAGGAAGGAACACTCCAAAACTCATTCTACGAGGCCACCATCACCCTGATACCAAAACTAGACAAAGACACTACCAAACAAAAAATTACAGACCAATATCACTGATGAATACAGATGCAAAAATCCTCAACAAAAAGCTAGCAAACAGAATCCAACAACACATTAAAAGGATCATACACCATGATCAGGTGGGATTTACCCCAGGGATGCAAGGATTCTTCAATATATGCAAATCAATCTATGTGAAACACCATATTAACAAATTGAAGAAAAAAAACCATATGATCATCTCAACAGACGCAGAAAAAGCTTTTGACAAAATTCAACACCAATTTATGGTAAAAACTCACCAGACAGTGGGCATAGAGGGAACATACCTCAACATAATAAAGGCCATATATGACAAACCCACAGCAGACATCATTCTCAATGGTGAAAAAGTGAAAGCATTTCCTCTAAGATCAGGAACAAGACAAGGATGTCCACTCTCGCCACTATTATTCAACATAGTTTTGGAAGTCCTAGCCATGGCAATCAGAGAAGAAAAAGAAATAAAAGGAATACAAATTGGAAAAGAAGAAATAAAACTGTCACTGTTTGCAGATGACATGATACTATATACATAGAGAATCATAAAGATGCCACCAGAAAACTACTAGAGTTAATCAATGAATCTGGTAAAGTTGCAGGATACAAAATTAATGCACAGAAATCTCTTGCATTCCTGTACACTAATGATGAAAAATCTGAAAGCAAAATTAAGGAAAGTTCCCATTTACCACTGCAACAAAAAGAATAAAATACCTAGGAATAAACCTACCTAGGGAGACAAAAGACCTGTATGCAGAAAACTATAAGACACTGATGAAAGAAATTAAAGATGATACCAACAGATGGAGAGATATACCATGCTCTTGGATTGGAAGAATTAATACTGTGAAAATGACTATACTACCCAAAGCAATCTATAGATTCAATGCAATCCCTATCAAATTACCAATGGCAGTTTTTACAGAACTAGAACAAAAAATCTTAAAATTTGTATGGAGACACAAAAGACCCCGAATAGCCAAAGCAGTCTTTTTTTTTTAAATTAATTTATTTAATTTTTGGCTGCGTTGGGTCTTTGTTGCTGCGTGCGGGCTTTTCTCCTGTTGTAGCAAGTGGGGGTTACTCTTCCTTGCGGTGCACAGGTTTCTCATTGTGGTGGCGTCTCCTGTTGCGGAGCACGGGCTCTAGGCGTGCAGGCTTCAGTAGTTGCAGCACGCAGGCTCAGTAGTTGTGGCTCGCAGCTCTAGAGCGCAGGCTCGGTAGTTGTGGTGCATGGGCTTAGTTGCTCTGTGGCATGTGGGATCTTCCCGGACCAGGGCTCAAACCCATGTCCCCTGTATTGGCAGGTGGATTCTTAACCACTGCGCCACCAGGGAAGCCCTAGCCAAAGCAGTCTTGAGGAAAAACAATGGAGCTGGAGGAATCAGACTCCTTGACTTCAGACCATACTACAAAGCTACAGTAATCAAGATAATATGGTACTGGCACAAAAACAGAAATATAGATCCATGGAACAGGATAGAAAGCCCAAAGATCAACCCATGAACCTATGGTCAACTAATCTATGACAAAGGAGGCAAGGATATACAATGTTGAAAAGACAGTCTTCAATAAGACCACCATTCAATAAGTGGTGCTGGGAAAACTGGACAGCTACATGTAAAAGAATGAAATTAGAACGCTCCCTAACATCATACACAAAAATAAACTCAAAATGGATTAGAGGCCTAAATGTAAGACCGGACGCTATAAAACTGTTAGAGGAAAACATAGGAAGAACACTCTTTGACATAAATCACAGCACCATCTTTTTTGATCCACCTCCTATAGTAATGGAAATAAAAACAAAAATAAACAAATGGGACCTAATGAAACTTAAAAGCTTTTGCAAAGCAATGGAAACTACAAACAAGACGAAAAGACAACCCTCAGAATGGGAGAAAATATTTGCAAACGAATCAACGGACAAAGGATTAATCTTCAAAATATATAAACAGCTCATGCCGCTCAATATTAAAAAAACAAACAACCCAGTCCGAAACTGGGCAGAAGACCTGAATAGACATTTCTCTAAAGAAGACATACAGATGGCCAAGAAGCACATGAAAAGCTGCTCAACATCACTAATTATTAGAGAAATGAAAATCAAAACTACAATGAGGTATCATCTCACACCAGTTAGCATGGGCATCATCAGAAAATCTACAAACAACAAATGCTGGAGAGGGTGTGGAGAAAAGGGAACCCTCTTGCACTGCTGTGGGAATGTAAATTGATATAGCCAGTATGGAGAACAGTATGGAGGTTCCTTAAAAAACTCAAAATAGAATTACCATATGATACAGCAGCATATATATACTAGGCATACTAGGCATATACCCAGAGAAAAGCATAATTCAAAAAGACACATGCACCCCAATGTTCACTGCAGCACTATTTACAATAGCCAAGTCATGGAAGCAACCTAAATGCCCATCGACAGACGAATGGATAAAGAAGATGTGGTGCATATATACAAGGGAATATTACTGAGCCATAAAAAGGAACGACATTGGGTCACTTGTAGAGACGTGGATGGATCTACAGACTGTCATATAGAGTGAAGTAGGTCAGAAAGAGAAAAACAAATATCATATATTAACACATATGTGTGGAATGTAGAAAAATGGTACAGATGAACCAGTTTGCAGGGCAGAAATAGAGACACAAATGTAGAGAACAAACATATGGACACCAAGGCGGGAAAGTGGCAGGGGCATGGTGGTGTTGTGATGAATAGGGAGATTGGGATTGACATATATACACTAGTATGTATAAAATGGATAACTAATAAGAACCTGCTGTATAAAAAAATAAATAAAATTCATAAATTCAAAAAATAAAAGAAAACAAAAAAATTGAGTGTTAACTGATAAAAAACAAACAGACTACATAGTAACATGAATTTAATATATAAAAATATAGCTAAAAAAGAAAATAAAACTTAATGTGATAATATTAACACCAAACATCTTTTGTATCGATAAATATAAATGGTCTTAGCTCATCTATTTAAAGAAAAACATTTTTGTATTGGATCCCTGAGCAAAACTCAACTACTGTATTCAAGAGAGTCAACTAAAACAGATTCAGAGAGGTTAAAAATAGAAGAAGGGCAAAGGTATACCAGTCAAATGCAAATAAAGAAAGCAGAGGTTGTAATCTTAATTATCAGCCAAGTTAGAAAGTCAGAATGAAAGGCATTAATTGACTGTCAATGTCATGAAAAGGAAAGACTAAGGAATGGTCCACAGGTTGGAGGAGATATGATGACTAAATGCAATGTGGGATTCTGGTTTGGAGCCTGGAACAGAAAAAGGGTATTAGTGGAAAAACTGGTGAAATCTGAATAGTCAGGAGTTTAGTTAATAGTAATGTACTAATGCTAATCTCTTAGTTTTCTCAGATGTAGTCATATAAGATATTAACATGAGAGGCAACTAGATGAAGGGTTCTATAAAACTAAAATTATTCTGAAATAAAAAGCTTATTACAAAAAAGAATTGAGACAAAAAAGGCCACAATTCACAATGAAAATATAAAGTTATGAGTATTTTTGTATCAAATAACATAGCAACTTTCACAAAGCTGAAATATTAAGAGATACAAGGAGAAATAGATAATAGATTGAAACAAACTAAGAACAGGAGAAATTTAACTCACCTTTCTCATTCCAGGACAGATCAAATGAACAACAACAGCAACAAAAACCCAGTAAGAATACAGAAAACCTAAACAACAAAATCAATATTAGGCCAAGAAGAAAATCTCAATAAATTCCAAAAGGTAGAACTAATACTGACAATGTTCTCTGATCACAACTGGATAAAGGCAGAAATCAATGTAAAAAAGATCTTCCATCTGAATATATAAAAACTCTCTGTCAAACAATTCTTGGGTCAAAGGGCAAACTCAAACCAAAATTGCTGAATTTCTAGACAATAATAATAATGAAAACATTACATATCAGAATCTATGGGTACAGATAAAGCAGCAGTCAGAGAAAAGTTCATTGCCTCAAAATACTTATACTAAAAACAAGGGAAAAAATTAAATGAACCCAACTCAGAAAGTTAGTGAAAAGAGAAACAGAATAAACTTACGGGGAACAGAAGGAAAGAATTAACAAAGAGAAAAGCTCAAATAAAGGAGTTAGAAAACAGGTAACAGTAGAACTAATAAATAAATAGATTAACCAATTCTGTTAAAAAGAAATAAATAAGCCATTAAATAATAATCAAAAAAAAGGAGAAAGCACAAAGACACAAACCAGGAAATGAAAAGTTGGACATAACCATAGCAAGAGGACATTTTAAACATTATGAAGGACTTCCTCATGCAACTCTATGCAAATCGTTTTAAAGACCTTGAAGAAATGGAAAACATCCTAGGAAAATATAATTTACCAAAACTCTAAAAGAGAAAAGTCCATATAGACCAATTTCCATGGAAGAAACAGAAAAAGTTATAAAGAGCTACTTTCCCCCCAAAGCACTGGGCCATGATGATTTCACAGGGGAAGTCTGCTAACACTGAAAAGCAGATCATTTGAATGCTATTTTTATTTTCCTGATCCTAGATAAAGAAGGAACACCTTCATATTCTTTTTATGAAGTGAGTATAACATTGATATCAAGATCTAACAAAGATTTCACAAGAAAAAGAAAATGATATAAACCAATCTTCACTTATGAATATTGATGCAAAATCCTAAATATTAGCAAACAGAATCCCTGACTATGTGGAGTTTATTTTCAAGAATGCAAAAATCATTCAATATTAGGAAATCCATTAATACAATCTAACATATTGTTGAATCTAAGGAGAAAAATCATATCATCATTTCCAGAGATGCCAAAGAACCATTTGACAAAATTCAATACCCATTCTTTACAAAAAATTCTTTATAAAAATTTCTTCCTTAGTATAATTATGTCTGCCTCTTTCTCTATCTATCCATCCATCCATCCCCAAATCCAGCAATCCTGCACTTCACTTAACCAGGAAACACTAGTAGCATTTATATGCTAAACTCACAAGGGTATCTACTCTCTCCACTACAATTTAACATTATATTGGAGGTAGCAAAAGCATTGTGATTAGAAAAGAAAAAGAAATTAGAAATTACAATTGGAATGGAGGAGGTAAAGCTATCATTCCTTATAGATAAGACTGTAGAGCCAGAAAACCCAAGCAAACCAATAGAAAACTATTACAAACAAGAGAACTCAGCAAGGTAGCAGGATATAAAATTAATATATAGAAATCATTCAGTTAGAAGACATATGGAAGAGAAGGCTTCATTTATCATAGCAACAAAAAAGACAAAATAATGTCTTAGTCTGTTGCGGCTGCTATAACAGAATACCACAGACTGGTTGGCTTATAAACAACCGAAATTTATTCTTCACAGTTCTAGAGGCTGGGAAGTCCAAGATCAAGACACTCAAAGATTTTATGTCTGGGGAGGGCCCACTTCCTGGTTTATAGACAGCCATCTTCTTGCTGTGTCCTCACATGGCAGGAGTGGAAAGGGAGCTCTCTTGGGTCTCTTTTATAAGGGCACTAATCCCAGTCATGAGGGCTCCAATCTCATGATCTAATCACCTGCCAAAGGTCCTACCTCCAAACACTATCACATTGGGGGTTAGGTTTCAACGTAAAATTCGGGGGGTGGGGGCAGACACAAACATTCAGTCTACAGCAAATACCTAGAAACAAACTTAACAAGAAATGTCTAAATCCTTCAAGAGAAAACATTTGTAACACTCTGAAGAAACAAATAGAAAGGCACCTCATTTTCTTAAATAGGAAGACTCAAAATCATAAAGATGTAAAATTAATTTATAAATTTAGTATAAGCTAATTAAAAATACCATATTTTTTCTTTTTCTGAAACTAGACAAGCTGAATTAAAGATCAAATGGAAAAATAACGAACAAGCACAGCCAGAATATCTCTGAAAAGGAAGAACAATGATGGGGGACTATTGCTACAATAATTCTCTATAAAAAACCAAAATGAATATTTAGATACCCAAACTTAGACAGAGTCTATGGTCAGCTGAGAGGTTCTATGCACTGGATCAGGCTCTGTTGATCTCAACTCTGCCAGCTCATGTATCTGCACTAAGTTGGTGGCTTGGCTGGAGGTTGGCTGCTATAGGATGCCTTGGCTGGGAGGACCAGGCTCATTTCTATATGTCTCTCACATCCCTCCAGCAGACTAGCCTGGGTATGTTCTCACAGCAGTGGCACGGGTCCAAGAGAGGAAGCAGAATATGCAAGAGCTTTCTCAAGTCTCTGCTTATATCAAATTTGCTACTATCCTGTTGGTTGAAGTAAATTATATGGCCAAACTCAGTCACTATGGGAGGGCACTACCAAAGGGTGTGAAGACACATAAAAAATTGGGGCCATTAATGCAATCTATCACAAAAGTACAAATCAAAATCTAGAATCCATAAAAGAAAACATAAACTTGTTTACATAAAAATAAAGTAAAATTTGCTTGGAAAATATCCATTAGCAAAGTCAAAAGAACAACAAACTGGGAAAAAAATACTGACAACTGATATCATTCACAAAGGTCTAATTTCTCTAATTATATAACAAGCTTGTAGAAATCGAGAAAATAAACAGAGCATATAAATAGACAACTCACAGGAAAAGCCAAAAATGACCCTTAAACATATGAAAAGATGCTCAACCTCACTCATCATAAAAGAAATGTCAATTAAAACTACAGTGAGATACTGTTTCTCACCTATCACATTGGCAAAAATCCGAAAGTCTTTAATGATACACTTTCTGAGCGAGGTGGTGGTGAAACACATAAACTCATACATGGGTGGTAAGTGCAAAATGGTACACCTACGGAGGGAAATTTTGGCAATATCTACCAAAGTTATAAATGTGATTCTTAGAATTTATCCTATAGAAATATCTGCATACATATGAAATGTCTATTCATCATGGCACCATTTGTAATACCAAAGGACTGAAAATACCCTGAACATCCATCAGTAGGGTATTGCAGTCATTAAATAAACTATTACACATCCACATAATGTAACGGTTTCTCAGCTCTCAACAGTTTCAAGTCATACTACATGATTTTCTATGTAGTGGAAACTTTCTAATGCTCTGATATGCAAGGACCTGCAGGATGTATCATGTGAAAAAAGCAACATGTATAACTGTATGTATAGTATGTCACCTTTTGTGTAAGAAAGAGGGAGATGGAATACGATATACATTTATACTTGTTTGTATCTGCATAAAGAGACACTGGAAGAATAAAAAAATAAATGAATAAAACTGGTAACTGTGGGCGGTGTGTATGGTGGCAACTGGGTAGAATGGACAAAGATGAGTGACAATTCTCAAAGTATAATTTTTATATAGTTTTGCTATTCAAAATGCGTGTATATTATCTATTCAAAAAATAAAAATATTCAGAATAGTAACTAAAACTGTAAAGTCACTAGGAATTAAATTAGTAAAAACACAAAAATTCTAAAGAGAAAACTTTAAACTCTTAATAAAGAGCACAGGTAGAAGGTGAACTGAACAAATGAGGAGATATTCCATGATCTTGGATGGGACAAGTTAATATTTTGATAGTGTCAACTCTCCCAAATTAATCTATAAATTCAGTGCAATTCTAATCAAAATTACAGTTGTTTTTTTGAAGAGCTTGATAAAATCTTTTGAAGATTTATGCAGAGTTATAGTTAAGACAACCCAAAAGAAGACTAAAGAGGAGGGGACTTGCCCTATCAGATTTAAGATACGTTACAAAATATTAAAAAAATAGGTGGTATTAGTACAAGAACAGAAACAGACCTATGTGTGTATGTTTCATAATATACGACAAAGGTGGCATGGTAAATCAATGAAAAAGGAAGGATTGTTTAGTATTTGGTGGTGGGAAATGTGGCTCACTATGTGGAAAAAATAAAATTGCATACCTACCTATCACCACAAATGAGCGTGGATTCTAAATGGATTAAAACCTAAAGGTGAGGGGGTCGGAGGAAGATGGGGGAAGAATAAGGCATGGAGATCACCTTCCTCCCCACAGATACACCGGAAATACATCTACACGTGGGACAACTCCTACAGAACACCTACTGAATGCTGGCAGAAGACCTCAGACCTCCCAAAAGGCAAGAAACTCCCCACATACCTGAGTAGGACAAAAGAAAAAAGAATAAACAGAGACAAAAGAACAGGGATGGGACCTGCACCAGTGCGAGGGAGCTGTGAAGGAGGAAAGGTTTCCACACACTAGGAAGCCCCTTCGCGGGCGGAGACTGCAGGTGGCGGAGGGGGGAAGCTTTGGAGCCACGGAGGAGAGCACAGCAACAGAGGTGCGGAGGGCAAAGCAGAGAGATTCCCGCACAGAGGATAGGTGCCGACCGGAACTCACCAGCCCGAGAAGCTTGTCTGCTCACCTGCCGGGGCGAGTGGGGCTGGGAGCTGAGGCTCCGGCTTCAGTCGGAGCCCAGGGAGAGGACTGGCGGCGTGAACACAGCCTGAAGGGGTTAGTGCAACATGGTTAGCCAGGAGGGAGTCCGGGGAAAAGTCTGGACCTGCCAAAGAGGCAAGAGACTTTTTCTTCCCTCTTTGTTTCCTGGTGCACGAGGAGAGGGGATTAAGAGCGCTGCTTAAAAGAGCTCCAGAGACGGGGGCGAGCCGCGGATAACAGCGCGGACCCCAGAGATGGG